TACAGTATTTAATTTATTTAAGGTCTTGCTGTTTATTAATTATATATAAATAAAATAAAATTTCTTAGAAAGAAAGTATGAATGATCCAGTGTTAGCCAAAAGTAAATTATATAATGTTTTTTACATGTAAAAAGTTTAAATATCATAATTCATATAAAAAGTTTAAATGTCATAATTTAGTCATGATATTAAATGATCTACTATTGGCTAATTGTCATGTGCTATTAACCTCATCGGCTCGCAGCTCTATGTTCGGCTATGTTTGGCTTCAGATCTTTAGCCAAGCCGTTTCTAGAGCCGATACTTTATTAGTAGACTCTTAGCCAAGCCAATAATCGGCTCGGCTTAGCTGATCGGCTTGTGGCTTAGCCTTAGCCGTTCGCATCACTAGGTTTAATAATTTGATGCACATGCACCATGGTGCACCCTTAACAATTTATAAATATATATGTTACACAAAAGGCTAGTATATTATTTTTACAAAAATAATTTTAGTTGCACAAATTAAAATTGTATAACATTTAATTAATTCAATTTTGGTAGTACAAACTAAATTTGTGTAATGTTACACTAATTAACTACTAATACTAAATCTAACACTAACATTAATATTAATACTAATACTAACTCTAATACTAACTCTAATACTAACTAGTACAAACTAAACTTGTGTAACATTACACAAATACTAAACCTAACACTAACCCTAACCCTAACTCTAACTCTAACCCTAACTCTAACACTAACACTAACCCTAACACTAACTTTAATACTAACTCTAACACTAACCCTAATCCTAATATAGGGGGTGCACTAAGTGCATGATGCACTAAATTATAAATTCCTAATAATAAAATTATTAAAAAATAATTTTGTTTATATCATGTATTTTTTGTAAATTTTACTGTACTAGTTCTAGTAGTATGCTTTTAAATTTAATTATAATTATAACATACTAATAAATTTTGTAAATTAGAAGTTTGATTATATAAAACAAGTTTAGAGCTTGTTATAATTAAAATATTTTTATTTATTATATTGCAATAATTATTATTTATATTATAAATGTTTTTCAAAATTATTGCAAATTATTACTATACATAGTAAATTACACAAGTTTAGTTAGAATTTAAAATTTTTTTATTAATTAAATTTTTCAAATTTTTAATTAAAGTTATAAAAATTTATTATCTAATTTCAATTCCAAAAATCTGTTGTTATAAAATTAGTTATATCACTTTAAATTTTAAAAAAAAACTATATTTATTTTTAATATAGAATATTTATATATAATTAAACTAAAATTTTTTAAGAATTCAAAAAATTATAAAAAATTCAAAAAAATATTTGAAGCTATTAAATTTTTTTATGGAATTGCCTATTCTAAAATACTTTAAAATAGTATTTAATAAGGTAGTTAACTTTAAAAATCAATAGATAATTTTAATTTAATACTGTACTAGAACTACAGTAGTACATTGTACTAGTTCTAGTACAGGTAAATCCAATCCATTAAATAAATAAACCAAAAAAAAAAAAAAAAACATAAACCAAAAAAAAATTAAATCAAATCAAAGTTTTAAATGCTATAATGATTATTAAAATATAACATGTTTAAACTTTGTAATAAGTTTTTACTCAAACTTTGCTAATTACTATTGTAGTATATTTTGAAAGCTTCTCTTTATTGCATGCAATTTTAGACAACTGAGCCAAAGTATTTGACCAATTTATTCAATGTAATTTCTTTAAATACTGTGTCATATAAATTGATCATTTATACAATAGTTTGTTTGATAGATTGGCCAATTTGGGAGAACTGTTAAAGCCAGGTTCGATCATGTAATTAGCCAACTGTTGGCCTTTACTGCCGATCACCTGGAGATTCGAAGATGTAATTTTTTTTTATAAAAAAAACTTAATTGCAATATTTATTTATTTAAATATATATATATAAAATAATTCATATTATTATTGAGATTTCCACGTTTATTTGCGACAATAATAATGATATTTACTACATTGGTATCCTTTTAATGCAATTATATTTCAATGTTTCGAATTTTCTTGCGGGAAATGTTCAATCCACCCTTTTAATAGAACACAACATTTCTTCATCTCTGAGATCCAAACTCGCGTTAACATGTTTAATCTTGCAAGAACGGACAAGCAAGCCAATGCAAATGACATGAATTCAGTTTGACAAAGAAGGGAACGAAAATTACTTTTAGAAGTTTATGAATATACAGGATTAGGAATCGTTTAATAACAATAATATTATAACGAAAATGTTGAAATTGAAATTACGTGTATGCATCTAGATAACATTTCAAAGCCTAAATAGAATGCAAAAGATAAATTTTTAAACATTGTTAACAATACAGAAAAGGAATAAGACACATACTTTATCCATTAATATTGTAGCGCAATTGGCTCTATTTAAAACATAAAGAGATATTTCTCGCGATGGTACATATTCCCATTTTTTTTGATGCATTTGATTCCTTTGAAATTTTATAAAAAGTTAGATTTTCGAAAAATTACCATTCACTGAATTGTCAATAATCTTACTTGTTATTCCCGTAGAACAAGCCAATAAATTCAGACATTAGTTCTCCGATTTTCATTTCTTTAAATCTAAGAATTATCCTTCGGGCCTATAAGGATAAGAACATGTAAATATTAAAATTAATTTTAAAATATAATCATGAAATTGTGGGATTTATTACCTCTTCAATTTTCCGAAAATATTTAGCACGATTATGTTGGTTCTTATTTTTGTAATACAATCTTTCTAAAATATTCATTTCAGCCCAAATATCATTTTTTTGAAAATAAAGAACATATGAAGAAAGTTGACTGAAATAGGTAAAATGTAATTGATGTGGAATAGCGGATAAAAAAAGTTCCGCTTGTGGAAAATAAATAGGAGACGGTTTCGTGGCGTAACGAGGTAAGTAAACAGGATCTTGGTGTGTCGTTTGAAGCTCTATCATTTAAATATTTCAAATATATCATCGCAATTTCGATCAGCACAATTATATATATAATCCATCTATCAGCTCAGAAAAACTTAAATAAAATTCGTAAATTCGTTTTAACATTATTAATATATGTAATATTAATACACCTTAAGTTCTAATTATTATCATCAATATTTTAACAGAAGAAAATAATTTATTCTAAAGTATTTTTGATGTCAGAGCAAAATTAAATTTAAAGCATTGAAAGCTATTTCCAATTAAAATGACATATCATGATGACTGTTCAACCGTTTAGGTTCAGCTAATAAAGAAAAAAAAATTTTCCATCTTAATCAGATAATTCATTTAAAGCTGAAGTCAGATAAAAATTACACTTACTAGAATACCAAACAGGTATAGCAATTTCAGCACCGGTTGTTTTTATCACTACTTTTCTGCGTGTCCATTTACGAGGGCGGGTATTTTTGGATTTTTCTGTATCATTACCTGATAAAGTTGACGAATCTTGTAATAAAGTTTGTTGCGTTGATTGTTGAGATAAAGGAGATGATGTCAAGGCTATTTTTTTTATATTTTTTTTTTCATTAGTTAATTTAATATTTTAAAAAAATTTAAAAAATTTATATAATCACATGAAAACTACAATACCTTCTTGCCCAGTAGTGACAAAACTTTCAGCCTGTTGCTCGCTGTATGCAAAACTTTGAATAACGTTAGAAACCAAAAGTAAAGTATATAAAACGATAAGGTATGTGAAATTGACATACTCAGAAGTAGGCTCAGAATTAACAGATTCGACGTCTTTTTCTTTCCCTTTACTCGAAGTCCCGACTCCTTTTGGGTTAAAAGAGATTATTTTTAAAGTTTCACCTGTACGAGACGATTTAGATGGCTTTTCATTCGGAAGTTCTTCTGCTGATTCAGAGAATTTTCGTGGACGCCCTCGACGTTCAACCTTACTAGAACTTGTAGAGCTGTTCGTTGTAGTCTCTTCCGACTTAGTCTCAGGGACCGAAACTGGAGCAGTTGGATTCGAATTGCGTTTTCGTTTAATTACCATATTGAGTAGAATAAGTCAAACTAGAAAGCGTAAATTTTTAATAATGAAGAGCATGCTTAAAGTTTGGGTCGATTGCAGAAAAATTTGATTGGTTATGATTTGGCTGTCTTCTATACTTTAGGCTTTACCTTACAAAAAATTGGTCCACCCCTGTAATTTGACCAGCTAAATTTCAAATTTTAATTAGGAAACCACCTTTTGTGGTCTAATTAAAAATGTTCCTTGTAAAATTTTACTAAGGCCATGCAAATTAAATTAGTTGGTTCTCGTTACATGCAACAAGCAAATAGGACCCGGCCGGCCGGCAAAAAATGTTATATTTACAAATTTTTTTCATATAAAAAAAATTTTATAAATTTTTTTTTCATACAAGAATAAAAAATTTTATATAGAAAAATTTTTGACTTTTCTAAAAAAGTTACCCGGCCGGGTAACGAGAACCAACTTTATTTGTTTGCATGGCCTAATAATACAAATTTTACTAATAGATACTACATTGTTCTAATTATAATGCCTCTAAATTTACATTCAACTTTTTTTACTTTGAACGTTTTAACAAATGAATGGCACATATTTCTGACCAATCAGACAAATGATATTCAATCAGATAATCAGTAATAGCCTGATCAAAGGTATATAAGTGATTTCTTTTAAAGCAGTTTTGCTCTCTTTCAATCTTTTCTCTGTTACATGTGGTCTGTAACAGAAAAATATTACTAACCCACAGATTCGCAGGGTTCACGCTGCGGGAGTAATATGATGATGGTGGGCTCGGCACAGTAGAATCGGAATTGCAATTGAAGGATATGCAAAAGATGTTCTTTAGTCTGTTATACGAAGGGAAAATCAAGGAAGATAGCGAGCTTCCAAGGCGGAAACGACTTATTTTTTTGTCTCATTACAAAGCTTTCCGGACTTTTGTATAATGCTCTTCTGTTGCAGCTCATAGTTAACGTTGACATGCATTTCTTCATTTCCTTATACTTGTAATATTCTCTCGGGTCTAACTCTGGGTCAGATTGTTTTTCTATGGTGGTTATATCATTCATGCTTACGTCCTTTATGGGATACAACTCCGGGTTGTTATAAACCTAGTCATAGGATACACCTCTACGTTCATAGGCAGACATTCGTATGATTGGCAGTTTAAATTTACAGTTTAAAGTACTTTTTAAAAAATAGAAAACCACGAAGAATAAACAAAAAAGAAGTATATAGAAAGTTTTATTGGGGTTGTAGGACTCCACTATTAAAAATAATCAAAATTCTTTTTTGTTTTAGAGAAGTTAGCATAATAACGACTTCTTAAAATTAGGTTATCACCGTGCTAACTTCTCAAACAAAAAAGAATTTTGATTATTTTTAGTAGTGGAGTCCTACAACCCTAATAAAACTTTCTATATACTTCTTTTTTGTTTATTCTTCGTGGTTTTCTATTTTTTAAAAAGTACTTTAAACTGTATAAATAATGTAAAATTAAATTGATTTAAACAGTCAATCATACGAATGTCTGCCTATGACCTCTACGTGGTGACTAGAACAAGTAAGCTAATTATAATTATTATTATTATTTAGCTGAAACTAAGGCAAAACATCGGTATTGACCCACAATAAAATCAGTACATCGTTATTGACCCATTAAAAAAAATCTGATCCGCCGTTATTGAAATTTATGACGTTTTTAATAACGCATTCATGAATTTTTAATACTTTCACCATTAAACCTTCTTTAACCGAAATTAAGCAAATATTGAAATTGATGTTGATGTGAGTTGAAAGAGTCAAAGAAGCTCCCGTAGTTAACGTTACCAGTGCACAAGTATCGTTATTAAATCTATTATTTTCTTCAGTTCAGAAATGAAAAACTGCAACAATTACTGTAGGAGCTGCAAACTAATTCCGCTATATAAAAAGGGTAAGTCTAAACAACAATATATAAATGAGTTAAAACAGAGTAATCATAAACTTCATCATCTTCGTCTAAAGCTACTACATGATGTGCATTTGATGTAAAAGGAAAAAAATTTACTTAGATAATGAAGGTGGAAAAAAAAAATAAGACGAAATAAACAACTAACTTGTAAAACAAATAAATAAGGTTTAATCTCTCTTTGAAGTATTAATCGAAAGCTCATATGACGTGTGACATTATACAACAATATTACGTCGCAATGCGACAAAGACTTTTTTATTTTTTTTTAATAGTCAATAACGATGTACTGATTTTTTTAATGGTTAATAACGATGGTTCAAATGGTTCAATATCAATGTTTTTGCGAAACTAAGCATCCTAGCAAACAAAAAAAAAAGTGTAAATACAGTCAAACCTCTCTATAATCACACACTTGGGATACAAAAATGTGTGATTGTAGAGAAGCGTGACAGTTATAGAGGTCAAATTTACTATATTTAATAATAGTTCATTTTTTAAAAAATATGCTTATAAAGAAAATGTACTTATATAGGAGATGACTATAGAGAGTCTGACTGTAGAAAGAAAAGTGGATAGATTTAAAGAAATAGTCAAATGTGCAAATTGAATAATGTATATTATCAAAACATAAAAGGTAACTTTTCACAAAACTTTAATAAAATGTTAGCTATCACAAATTCAGATTTAATATTCAGTGTATACTGAATAATAAAAGAAAATAATTTTTTGCTTCTTTTAATCGACAATGGGTAATATATAGTAATTTCTTTAGAACTAGGTTAACGGTTATACAGTAAGTCTTTTAGAATCATGTTAGCTTGAAATAATTCGAACTTGGGTTGAGTATAGCCTTAATAATGGTTATAAAGTTGAACCTCCCTAGATGAATTTAGAGAACAATAAGAAAAATTGCAATTATGAGTATATATTTGGGCCAGAGTTAAAGATTGCATTTAAAGAGACCTGACTGTATAAGTTATATTTTTCTTGTAAAGATAATTTAATAGCATACTGTAGTACTGATCTCAATTTTAGCCTGTTTTTCATAATGAAAATGCTCTCTTTTTTTCAGAGCCTTATAGAATAGATTTTATACACATGCAATTTATTTATATATGATCTTTTTATTATAATAAAAAATATAACCTGTTGCCAATTATCTTCCACTATTCTTGGATTTTTTGCAAGAATATAATTAATTCTTTATGGTGATTAACTTTACCTAGATTATCTTCATTATCTAACACATGTTTTTCTTATTTATATCCTTCATTAATATCTGCTGACTTCTCACTAAAAATCTTTTTAATTTAACTAATTTGCTCTGTGGTTAAAATCATAAATTTGGAATTCAATTAACTCTTTCTGACAATCACTTAGTCCAAAATTCTCACAGAAGAAAAACACAAATTTTGTTGAAGAGTCATGGCCTAATGTAGTAGTTTGTCTAGAGATTAACGTACTGTTTAGCGGGACTCCTCTACAAGTAACATTTAGCATGCAAGCCAAGAGCATGATTATACAAGATAACTGGCAGGAGGTGCTCTTGTATAAAAAATCTTGGTGGAGAAGAGAACTCTTTAGATACTCTTCTTTCTCTGTTAACGAAGCTCTTAGGCTGTACTTCTTTGAAGACACTGGAGAACAACAAAATATTCTGTTATTTTCTTCAAGCTACACTCTTTTCACTTGGTCAAGTAGTAACTTTTTACTCTTACTCATTCTTCTATTGATCTTTCAAAAAATTTCAACAAAAAGTGGAGATTTGGCTTACTTTCTCCAAAAGATCAGCATTGTTTACTTCTCAAATTCAGACGGATTAGCAGAATGCAACTATGTATTTGTTTATAGATGAATATGGTGCTTTTTTATAAGACTCGGCCTGAGAACTCTAATTATGGCAGCAGGTGGCTTAAGACACAGGTTCTCGGACAACGGCAGCACCTGGCTTAAGATACAAATTAGGACAGATAACAAAGCTATCTGGAGTTAGAGATTGAACCCATTAACCATCTATCTAGATATCTGTGCAGTTAATCACATATCTGGATACTATAAATGTTTCATGAATAAAAACCTTATTCGCCAGATTTCAGAAGGATAACCTAATAGGTATCTGCGGGTATCCATAGTATCTGCAATATCCGCAAATATCTGCAATATCCACAGGTATCTGTAGTATCTGCGGGTATCTGCAGTATCCACGGGTATCTGCAGTATCCGTGGACATCTAGTATTCGCAAGTATCTGCAGTATTTATGCAAGTATCTGCGAATATCTTGTATCTGTAGATATTTATAGATATCCGGGTATCAAGTAACCTGTGGCATCATGGGAACTTATAAATGCATAAATGTTATGTATCTTCATAATGATCATTTGCTTTTTTTAGAAAAAGTATACGATAATTGTTTAATATGTAGCAGGTTTTAGCAAGGTATAATAAACTACAATATATGCTATTTTTGAATAAGTAAGATAAAGAAATATGCTACGTACATACATACGTATGTACAAGTTCACTTTTTTAAGCAGTAAAATCCTTAATATTGTACGATTGTTATGCAAATTGTCGTGTATATTAATATATTACATAATGCCTCTGGTATAAGTTTGTAGGTTTCACAAATATATTAACTATATAAAACATATAAAAACGTAGCAATAGACAGATATTGAATGCAGCAATAATATACATATATAATGACTTTCTTCATTTAGTAACGACTACACCAGGGTGTAGGATCGATTTTGCTGTTATATGATTTTCTGACATCTATTAGCCAATTAAAATTCAGGATCAGGTATAACATAAAAAAAATTCAAAACAAACGGTTGCTTTACAAAAAATGTATTTATCTCAAAATTTAGTCTAGTAAACTATTTTTAAAGCTTTAACAAAAAAATTTCCTTGTACAATTTTATCATATAGCTTCTTTTTCTAATCTTCTTAAACTCTAACCTGGGAATAAACAAAGTTTTTTAGATTCGACGATATTTGTTTTCCAACTATCGTGTGACAGTAAAATCGATTCTATGCCCTAGTGTAGTCATTTAGTAACTATTA